ACCAGGCTAGTCTCGAATGCCTGACGTTGTGATCCTCCTGCCTTGGCCTCCCAAAGTGCTGGGATTACAGGTGTGAGCTGCTGTGCCTGGTCAAAAATTTTTATAGTTTTTTTTTCTTTCCTTCTTTTGCTAATACTTTCATATACCTACCTGAACGTATAGAGTGTGTTTATATAATCGAGTTTAAAATTGTTAGCTAACATTAACGTTGTTAGCTAACATTAAAATTGTTTGCTAGTTTGATCGTTGATGTAATTTCTACATCAATTTGTTGTTATTATTTGATATTTCCTCTGGTTGTGGGCCATATTATTTTGCTTACTTGCATGTCCATACATACTTGCTAACATGTGTTGTTATCTGTATAATTGTGGCCATCCTTGTGGGTTTGAAGTAGTATTTTGTTGTGGATTTTGATTTGCCTTTTCCTGATGACAAAAGATGTTGAACATTTTTCTTTTTCTTTTTTTTGAGATGGAGTTTCACTGTGTCACCCAGGCTGGAGTGCAGTGGTGCATGATCTTGGCTCACTGCAACCTCTGCCTCCTGGGTTCAAGCGATTCTTGAGCCTCAGCCTCCCGAATAGCTGGGATTACAGGTGCCCACCACCATGCCCAGCTAATTTTTGTATTGTTATTAGAGACAGGGTCTCACCATGTTGGCCAGGCTGGTTTCGAACTCCTGGCCGCAAGTGATCTGCCTGCCTCGGCCTCCCAAAGTGCTGGGATTACAGGTGTGAGCTACCATGCCTGGCCACATTTTTCTGTTTTTAGAATTGATTTTTACCTATTTATTTTTTAGAGACAGGGTCTCACTTTGTTGCCCAGGCTGGAGTGCAATGGCATGCACATCTTTTCGTGTGCTTGCTGTTGATTTATGTATCTTATTTGGAGAAATGTTAATTCATATTCTTTTCCCATTTTTAAATTGTGTCATCTTTTTATTTTAGAGTTGTAGAATTTTAAAAAATATGTATATTCTGGATATAAACTCCTTATTAGATACATGGGTTGCAATTTTTTTCTTCCATTTTGTTTTTTTTCCCTATTTTCTTTATGGTGTTCTTTGAAATAAAAGTTTTACATTTTGACGAAGTCCTGTTTACCTAGGTTTTTCTTTGGTTGGTTGTGTTTTTGGTGTCAAATCTAAAACTATTTTGTTACCTAAGGTTATGAACATTCGTTGTTATATTTTCTTTGAAGAGTTACGTAGTTTTAGCTATTACATATAGGCCTTTGGTCCACTTTGAGTTAACTTTCATACATAGTGTAAGATAGGGGTCCAACTTCATTTTCTTACATATGGATATCTAATTGTCCCAGTACCACTTATTGAAAAGACTTATATCTTCTGGCCAGGCGCGGTGGCTCATGCCTGTAATCCCAGCACTTTTGGAGGCCGAGGCGGGTCGATCACAAGGTCAGGAGATCGAGACCATCCTGGCTAACATGGTGAAACCCCTGTCTCTACTAAAAATACAAAAAATTAGCCGGGTATGGTGGTGGGTGCCTGTAGTCCCAGCTACTCGAAAGGCTGAGGCAGGAGAATGGTGTGAACCCGGGAGGTGGAGCTTGCAGTGAGCGGAGATCACGCCACTGCACTCCAGCCTGGGCCACGGAGCAAGAC